TTTGTCCCGTTCCAGCCCATTCCCAAGTTAAGCCCTTCAGGGCTTCCTGACATGGTCTGTTGACCCTCTACTTGAAGCGCTCCCTCCTCCCACCCCTGGCACACGCAACCTCTGGGAACCACAGCCACTGCAGGGGACATCACAGGTACAGCAATCAAGCCGTGCTAGGGTCCCCCATGGGACCCTTCAGTCAAAAGCCACCAGACTCCAAGACAGAAGCTCCCAGCAGAGCTGTGAGGTGTCCTGACTAATTTGGGCAGACCTCCTGGTCAAGCTGGAAGAGCACTGGGAGGGCCTCACCTGCAGAGATCAGGGGACAGAGCTGGATGACGGCCGGTAGGTGTGGGAAGGCACCCGCATGGGATGTCCAGGGTGTGGGGTGGACTTGACTTTGAAGGAGTGGATTATCATCTAAATATCTGCTATTCCTTCCCCCTTAAATTAGAACCACACATAATTTTAATCATATTGAGGAAGCCACTTAAAGCAACTGTGAAGACTGGTTCTAGAGACCGGCACTGCAGAACCTCAGCAAAAGCATCCCAGCTCTTGTCTGTTGGTCTGTCTTCTGAACTAAGTTCACTTGCCTTTTGAATCTTGCTTGTTAACACAGCCAGCTCCATCACCCACTCCCAAGCACACACGCTCGATTGCAATGTTTCTCTCACCACCACCCTGTTTCCTTTGGGCTGCCAGACTTGTACAGAGCGTCCCAGGTCCAAGTGCTCAAGAGAAACAAGGCATTTTGCAGAGGACTGAGGAAGGAGACAAACTTTTTCAATGAGTTTAAATTATCTTAGAAAAATTTTTTTGGCAAAATGTCCCATTATCAGGAACACAAATCAAGCATGCAGGGCAAAGTCACAAGGGCTCCCTGGGCTAGGGCTGAGGGCACTCTCTGAGAAGGCAGGGTTGTGACATGAAATCTCTATCACAGCCACTTCCCTCAAAGAGCTTTCCCCGAAAGTCCCCTCTGTCCCTCCTCTCTCCGACTAAATGGAATATGTATTGATTACTTCAAATCAATAGAATGAAAAGGTTCTTGTTTGGTGGGTCAGTTTGTTTCTTCATACACACACACACACACACACACACATATATGTATATTTTAAGAAACATCTTTTCATATGTCCCAATTATTGGTAAAATAGAGAACTGTTTCTAAAATGAAGGGAGTTGGGGAAATAAGCTCTGAGAGGAAATTTCCAGTTGATGTCAAGATCTCACTGAGCTGGAAAGGGCCTTACCCGGGACTGGGGCCCTCCATGCTGACCTACTGTTTCCTGCTAGTTGATCGCCCTCAGGCCTGAGTCCATCACCCCATCCTCTTCCACGGCAGCCCACACCTCCAGGAGGGTGGCAGGCACGTAAAGGTTTATTTCCCAGAGCCCCTCCCTCAGAAAATCAAGACTAATGTCCTCACTTTGATTTATTTTTAAATGTACCATTAAAAATTAATTTCCCCCTTTGTTTTTCTCTGGGTCACTGATTCTGAATTACCATGTGGCATTTCTCCTACGTGTGAACCCACATATTTTACCTTCAGGACAGTTTGTTCTTTGTTTCGTTAACAACAGCAAAGTGGTCATCGGACGGTGGGTGAGGCAGCCCGCCCTCCCTGCTCCCTGGGTTTTATGCCGAGGGTCTCCGGTGGGTCCCATCCCTGGCACGTTTGTACACAGGCCCACACAGGCCAGCACACTCACTCCCACTCTGGCTGATTATATATGTACATAAAATATTGATTAGAAATGGTAATGGAGTCACCTACAGGATTGGCTACAGGAAAATGAAAATGAAGGAGAGAAAGGTATGAAGGTATGGATATATCTCTGTGTGTGTGTGTGTTTTAATTTCTCACCTGGAAAGTGAGAATAACACAAAAGCATTAAAAAAATGCTCTCTGTATATTAGCAGGTGAGAAAGAGGGCTGGAGAGTTCTTGCTCCCTGGACTGTGGTCCCTGCGCCCTTGGGTGTTTTCAAGTCTGAGAATGTCAGCTAAGCCAAATAAGTAGAAATTGTGTGTACAGAGCACACGAACCCACTCATGTATGTTTCCCTAGAAACATGGGCATCGTAATGGATGGATTTATCCTGTGGTTTTGCCAACAAACCAAAGAATGCAGCCCTCTGCTTTGTTACTTTGCTACCAGTGGCTCTGAAGCTACTTGTCGTGAAGCACCAGGGTTGAGGTCAGAAAGATGCCTCCCCGACATCAACCTCTGACCTCCACAAGCTCATCCTTGGAAATTTTGTACCCCTGTAAAGACAGCAGAGGTAAACCCTCACCGGGAGGCATGCACCTATATATGGGGCCGGCTCACTAATGCTTGAGCTGCTGCCCAGCAGCTCCTGGGCCCTGAGAAACAGCATCTCACAGGAATGCTTAGTTCCTCGGTGGATGGAGCAGGCACCTTTCTGGCTTTTCCTGTGCCCCATGGAGTGAGAAGGTAGTTCTTGGCAAAGAAACAGGAAAGGGAGGGAATCCAAACCACTGTCAGGCTTACTTTATAATTGATTTCCAGTTTAAACCCTTCCTAGACACCCAGGACCCCAGCTCCCTCACTCCCCTTTGCCGCTTCCCTGACATTCCCTCTTTGCCCATATTTCTCCTCAAACTCAAGCCAGGGTTGCTGTCAACTCAATGAATTACCCAGCTGCTAAATCCCTCATCTCTCCTTGCTTTCTTGGTCAACATAATCAAAGGATGTACTTCCTTATATGAAATTTCGTATTTATTGACTGTGACTTAAGCCAGGGACAAATACATAGATATTTCGAGCTCAACTAAAGAAGTCACCTCTGGAGAGAGGGAGCCTAAATAATTTAAATATCCAATATTTGTCGTACTTGGTAATTTTATGTGAGGAAATACCCCACAAGCATCAAACATTGTTCAAACTCTCACCCACCCTAGAGGGTTCTCTGGCGGCTCCCATTCTTTTCTGGAGGGAGCACCCAGCCCTCTCGGCCGCCAGCCAGACAAGGGATCAGTGTAACCTTTAAAGAGAATGAAAAGCCACTTTTCAAGCTATGGAAACCTGAATCTATTGTAATTAAGGATTTCTCTCACCTCCCAACCCAGTCACCTTCTTCTGACACTCTACATTCTAGTGGCACCTAAAGGACCCTCTTGCCCGGGGAAATCCCAAAACTAGAACCAAAAAGGTTAGCGTGGAGTTTGGGACAGTCTGGTCACCCACAGGAGACGCTGCTGTGAAGTTGTCTCCTCTCTCACGCGTGGTCCACCTGGGGTGGAGGTAGTCGTAGCAGCAAGGGGGTGTAACCACACTTCCTGGAACCCCACGTTATCCAGAGTATTTGTCTTAGGGATGTCGTGGTTCTTGAGGGAAGAGGTAGTATGAAAATGAAAGGATTGTGGAGCCAGAACTGACTCTAGTAGTTCAGTTTGCTTCAGGGAAAACAAAAAAAAAAAAAAAAGAAGGAGGAAGAAGAGCAAGAAGTTAAGCGGGTCTACGAGAACCTAGAGTTTTCATTTTATTATTATTGAAGCTTTCCGAGGGACCATTCCGCGAGCGCCCACATTCACACGCTGGGACACCAGTTCGGACGGAGCGCGGCGGCAAGCGAAGCGCCCAAGGGGAGGCCCGGGCAGGTACCCCGGCCGGTGAGGGGGACGACAGCGGAGGGCCCTGGGAGGGAAACCGCGGGTGGCAGGAGCAGGACCCCGGAGAACCCCAGCTGGACGCGCGGGGCAGCCCCTCTACCGTTCGGGAGATCAGTTCTCCGCTTTCCCAGTCTACGCGCTTGGCGCGCTGCCCAAGCCCGGGACTCGTGGTTCGTGGGAGTCCTGGTCCGCAGTCCCCACCGCCAACCACGCGCACGGCGCTCCGACGACCCCAGGTTCCCGCGAGGCGAGCTCACAGCCGCCCCGGGGCACGGAAGTCGCGCCCGTCTGTTTAGCCGGGCGCAGCCTCCCCTGAAGCCGCGA